GATTTCATGTAACGATTGCGTCATATTATAATGCAATAACACTTTTAGAAAACATGTTTGTGTTATTTGTATGACCCAAAATTTGGTACACACATTCTCTTCATCTCAATTATCAATCCCAAAAAAAAAAAGTTCAATTTGAGCCCTAGATATTGTCAAAACGGGTTCCTTCTAAAAACGAATCTAGACCATTCATTTGGTGAATTTCAAGATCTTAGTTTTTATAAACTCAAAATAGTTTTTTTCTTTTTTAACATTGTTCATCTAATGATAATAAAGTCATCCAAAAAGATTGGAAATGAAAAAATCTTTCTAAGGCCTAGATCTAAGCATCTCACCAAAATAAATAGCCTATGTTAATTGGGCTAAAAAAATACTTTCTAGGTTGTTTTCAAATTTTTTTTTTTTGCGATTGTTCATTAGAATGAAAAGAGTGTATATCTCAAAATTTGGATCAAACAAAGGACCATAATATGGTTTTTGAAGGTTGTTGCATTATATTATGATGCAACCGTTGCATGAAATTATTGCTATATATTAATAGTGCTAAAAACAAAAAAAACAAAAGTGAGTTTGAATTTGTTAAGGCCTAGATCTTGAAATTCACCAAATGGATAAGAAAATTTTGAAAAAATTATCCTGAAAGTTTTCATTCTAGCTCAATTATTATAAGCCGTCCATTTTATTGAGATGGTGAGATATAGGCCTCAGAAGGATTTTTTTTTATTCCCAGAATTTTTGTATAGCTTTATCATCATTAGATTAATAATGCTAAAACAAAAAAAAGCGATTTTGAATTTGTTGAGGCCTAGATCTTGAAATTCACCAAATTGATGGTCGAGATTCATTGTTGGATGAGTACTAATTTTGACCATATCTAGAGTGCAAATTGAATTTTTTTTTTTTTGGATTAATTATGATGATGAAGAGAATGTGTGCAAAATTTGAGGTCATACAAATGCCAAAAATATGATTGTCTAGAGGTGTAGTTGCATTATACTACTATACAACTGTTGCATTAAATCATTTCATATATATATAGATCTGATGGAACTCGGATCCCATGTTTGCTATTTGGATCTAGATTTGGTTCCAAATATTCTAGATCCGAACAAATCCAAATCCCATATATACTTTTTAGATCCAAATGTAGATCCTAGTGGATCCGAACCCAATCCCGCCCGCCCCATTAAAAGACAAGTTTCCAATACTGGTTATTAAGGAGCGGCTCAATGAGCTACGGAGGCCTACAACTCTTTCAAGTTGGATTTGTAGCTTGGATACCACCAGATACAACTCTTCCAATGAGCTACGAGTTTGCTGTGATGATGTTTGGCATTACAAATAGGGGTGGCAATGGGTCGGGTCTGGCTGGTCAGACCTAGACCCAAATATATTCGGATCCAAGTTTTGGACCCAAACCTGTCGAGTTCAAACGTTGGACCCATACCCGTACCCATCAGGTCCTGGGTCTGGTCAGGTCCATTGTCACCCTCACTATTAGCTTCCTTTTTTATAGCGTCCAATGCTGAACAACAGATAACCGATTTTTGAGGGGTGGGCGATTAAAGAGAGAGATAGAGACATTCAAGTTTTAGAGAGAGAGCTATGTCTCCAATAAATTGAGAGAGGGCGAATTGCAGAGAGGCAGGTTGGCAATGGGGTTTGGCAGTCTGTGGAACCAGGAGAAGGCGAAAAGCATTGAAAAGATTTTAGGGTTGGGGCTTTGGCATTTGGGTAACCTAAAAATTCGAGTCTGGGTACCTGCTAGACCAGGCATAGCACTCCGGATTATCTGAGTATCCTTTATTGGACCCGGACCTTACCCACAGGTTCAAAACTTGGACCCATATTCGAACCTGTGTCGGGTATACCCAGCGGGTATGGGTTGGGTCCGGGTCTTTGCCACCACTACTTACAAATGCACCACCACAAATGAATTTTTCCTATATGTGGCGCTTCATTCTAGAGTTCTACAACACATTGGCGAACAACCAACTTGGGTTGAGCACATACAGCAGGTGAGAGTGGTCTTGGAGCTATTGAGGCACCAAGCACTGTTTGGTTTGTGTGAAAATATTTTTATATAGAAAATATTCTCTCATACGGTCAAGTGTAAGAATACTTTCGTATCAATTCGTCTTAGTGCATCTTTTTACACAAATTGGCAACTCATTGATGCAAAAATATTCCCACACTTGACCGTATTAGAGAATTTTTTCATGTGAACAAATTTTTTTCAAGTGAAAAAAATATTTTCACGCGAACTAATGTGCAGTGTGGATCCTATTGCTAGGGTATACAACGCATGGCTCACGTCTATTTTATAAAGGGCGACATCCCAGTTAAAATTTTGCAATGTTGGGCTAAGGTTATATGGTCATTTCATATTGTGTTGAGTGTGTCATATAACACCCCAAACAGATGGTCCATCCAATGAGGTTAAAATTCTGCAAGAGGCAGATATGAGATTGCCTTAGCTAATCCCTGAACCTCTGACTATGGAAAAGTTACACATTTTGTTCAGTTTTTCCATCACAGCCTGTGTTTGTTGAGGGAAAACTATTGACACTAGTTTTATATGAACGATTTGAGACCATGTGTTTGGGTGGATCATTTATGGTGCTCCTCTTTGTATGCATGCAAAAGTTAAAGCTTGTAATTTACAATAAAATGGTGCAGCCCTGCTTCTTTTTTTTAGGTAATTCAGTGGGGATGACGAGCCCCACACATTTTTTAAATCGTTATTGGTTTTTTAGTACGTTAAGTGAAAATGAAAGTCTAGACCTTAATTGAGGCACATATAATGCTACCACTAAATACCCAACCCCATTCTTAAATGGTGCAACCTTGAAAGTTGCTAAATCAATTTATCAGCCCTATAAACAAGGACAAAAAGTTAAGAATGGCGTGCACTCGTAACAATCTTTAAGATAAAAGATAAATTTTGCTGGAGATAGAGAGGAAGACAGATTTAATAGCAGTTGTAGATCTAAAGGTTTACATTTTGTTGTCCGTTTTTTATCTCACCAAAGATGGTATTGGGGGACGCGTTCTTACATTTGCGACCCTTAAAACGTATCCCCAAAGGCATAAATCATCCATCCAAAAATGGATCTAATAATGGTCCCTCCCAAAGAAGTAAAATCAATGGCTTAAATATTTCTTTTGAAAAAAGTCATCATTTTTAGTTTTTAAAATTTAGCTTTTTTAGCACATTAATGATCTCCATTTTAGGGATTATATATTCTTTGAAAAAGTTTATATAAGGTTGCAATCTTAAAATGTAGAATTAAGGTGCACCTCAAAAATCCATTATATTTGGTTGTTTTGATGTTGGAAAACGCTCTAATTGATCATCTGTCGAGATGTATGGATATGAAAAGATTAAAAAAATAGAAAAAAAAAATAAAGTCGTAAAAATAATGTATCATCATCATTATAGCGTTTTTCTAATTAATTAGTTTTCAAACTCTACTTCCAACCACGTGAGTCTATCCCTGGCCTTTTTCAATTCTTCTACTTAAACTAACTCGTACCTCCTAACATGTGCTATACTTGATCGGCACCACATGTGGCCAACCACCTAAATCTACTCTCTCTCATCTTATTGCCTATGGTGCCACATCTAAATTCTCCCGAATTGATTTCATTTCGAATTCTAGTCGTAAAAATAATAAATCTTACAACAAATTATCTAGACTGCTCATTTTCAATATTTTCAAGCGTTTATAGATCTATTTGAACTATTTTTGGAGTTTAAGATTTTATATTTAGATATGAAAATAGATTCTCAAGCCATCCTAAGAAATTTTGACACTAAAATTATATTTCCAATAAAATTTGGAAGTACACCTTAACTTGATTGTTTAAGGTTGCAACTTTACACAAACCATACCCTTTAGGTTGAAATGTATTTCAAAAAGGATTATTGAAAGCGGCGCATTTCTACATATGAGTCCGGAAACTATAGGAACTGTGTCCACTATTAAAACCACTCGTATATTGGTAACATTTTTGAAACCTGGTGTTTGGTAGATCCTGAATGGTGCTTTCCTGCGTGAAAACACAAATAGAGGGTCTAGCTTGTGATACATTGAAACTGGGTGTTGCAGTCATGAAAGTTGCATGAAAAAGCTACGTCACCAGGCCTAGAAACAAAGACAGAGAGAGCAAAAGGACAGCATTCATCTCAAGAGACATTTCATATCATATAAAATTGCCTGTGGTTATTGCATTTTAGGAAATCCTTTCCACTATAATTCTGTGTTAAGCTAGTACACTTTTGATGAAACCACTGCTTCAAAATTAATGGCTTCCATCTTTGGTTCTTGAAGAAGGGCCTCAAATAATTGCTTCAAGAAATTTTCACTCCCATCATCAATGCTTTGGTATTCTTCTCAACGACGCTTATACATACAAGGCTTCAACTTTGGCCATTTGATATCTGTAGTTACTGCACGTGGTTTTTCCTGCCAAATAGAATCAATGAAAATGAACAAGAAAGAAACCATGTATGGTCGAAACTGGAGAGTGCTAAGCTTTTTCGAAGGTGAAGTTAAGTAATGTTTTCATACCTTTTTCTGAAAGAAGAAAAGAACAAACATTTTGTTTGAGAAATCCTGTAAAAGATTTTCAAGAGTTGTTAGTATATAGAATAAAATGGAATCATTGAAGCTCCATTGGAGGTCTAGAAAAAATTATAATCATTCAAGTTCCATTGGAGGTTGGGATACAAATATAACCTTTGAGGATGTGATAAACCCAAGCTTTTGTACGGCTTTGGAAAACATATCAGGGTCTGCACCTCCATTATTTGGATCAAACCTGCTCCTAACTTCCGCAATCAATAGCCAGCCACTGTTCCAAACCATCAATTCATAAGGATTGGCATAGAATTCCAGCTGACTGAACATGGAACTGTGTTTTATGGATGATTTCTCTTTTGCTTTAGGGAATGTTACATACCCTGGTCTGAGAACCCTGTGTGCTTCCTTGAGGTAATCAGAGAAATTTGTGCCCATCAGAGAGAGGCAGAAGACAGCCACATCAACCGAAAAAGAGCTCAAGGGTGTCTACAAAATGGCAGACACAAATGCAAGACTTGGAAATATTTTTATTAAATGAAAAGAACTGCATGCTGTGCAACATCAACACAAGAATAGGAGTTGGCATCAGACAATGGTTTGGGAGAAGGTGGTAAGGCTTACTGGGTTCCAATCCCAGCTTGCCCACCAAACCTAAAGAGTGGAGGTTCATCCCCCTAGGGTATGCTGGCAACACTAAAATCCAAAATCCGAATTCCGTCTTATTGGCCACCCCACAAATACGTGAAGCTTCTTTTTTTATGAGGAAGAAATTTATGAATACACTAGATTGAGCTAAGGCCACAATGGGGTTGTTATCACAGTAGTATGGAACTGCCCCAAAAAATTTACGTCAGAGGCCTATAAGATGCAATTCTTGTTTTTCATTACAAGAATTACTACCCTGTAGGCATTTTTTATTTCAAAGAGTCAACAGTACCTAAATGGGCTGGAGGACAGCGATAGAAAATTTCACCTTATCTCGTGGGACAAAGTCTACTTGCCTCAATGGGCTGGAAGTTTGGGTATCCGTAGGCTTAAAGTTTGTAACCTAGCCCTTTTAGGGGTGTGGTGGTGGTACTTTTGCGACCCAAGAGAACCACCTTTGGAGGGAAGTTCTAAAATCCAAGTACCACGTTCCGGACCTTGCTTGGCTCCCCGGGCCAAGGGTCAACAGCAACTCCTGGGGGATGGAAAGCTCTCAACCGCAGCCTCAACCACTTCAAGGCCCACATCCGCTTTCAAGCCAGAGCCGGCAATAGAATCCAGTTCTGGTCGGACTTGTGGATTGGCTGTGCACCCTTGAGAGACAGGTTCCACAACCGTGACGCTTCAATAGGGGAGCAATTCGATAGGGTGGGGCTTGCTAGAGACTGGAATCCTAGTTTTAGAAGGCCCCTTTTCGACCATGAGGTAGATGATTTCTTATCACTCTCCTCCATCCTCCATGCTTTTTTCTCCTTAGTCAGGGCCACGATAAACTAGTCTGGGCTCCTACACCCTCAGGGACGTTCTCTGTCTCTTCTTTTTATTATGTCATTCATGCCTTGGTCAGCGTGGTCTTCCCTATCCCCGGCCAAGGTTCAGTGGTTTAGCCAGATCGCAATCTCAGAAAGGGCCCTCATGGTGGATCAGTTACAGTATAGAGACCTTCAACTCCCTAACCGCTGCATCATGTGTGCCAACGACAAAGAATCCAATGCCCATCTTTTTATCCATCGTGCCATTGCACAGACCCTCAGGGGAGATAACTTCTTCCGCTGGCAATGGTGACCCCTCCTTCCATCCCCCATATTTTCAGTCACCTTTTCTCTCACCCCTGGTCCAAACCGGCATTACTCATATGGCATAGAGCAGTCTCAGCCCTCAATGCACCATCTGGAAAGAAAGGAACCATAGGATCTTCCAGTGACTGCACCAGTCCGTTGGCACTCTCAAAGACCAAGTCAGATCCTTCTTTATCAGTTAGGCCAAGAACAGCAAATTCTTTAGTCATTCTTCCCCCTCTAACTTTTACCAGAACTGGCAAGCTCTCTTACATTGGCGTCCCATGAGGGTACCACGTTCATCCCTTTAGAGGCCACCAAACCAAGATTAGATCAAGCTTAATTTTGACGGCCTCTTCCAAGACATGGAGGGGTGCATGCTGTTCTCTTACTCCCGCCACATTGGTGTTGCTGATTCCACTACAGCTGAGCCCACAGTCCTACTTGAAGGTCTTAGAGCATTTGACCCCTCCTAGAAGCCCTTCCTTGTCATTGAAGGGGACAACAAAAACGTTATTGCATGGGCATCTAGATTTACACCATGCCCCTGGAGACTTGATCACATTTTTTATGAGATCTCCTAACTCTGCAAATCCTCTGAAGTCTCTTGGAGGCACATTCTGCAGGAAGCCAACTCAGCTGCTGACTCCCTCGCGAAATCCAGAGTTACTTTCTCTTACACACTTGTACCTTGTTTCTCATTCTCAATCCAACAGTTAACATATTAAAAAAAAAAGAATTAAATCGTACCTTGTCATAAACTCCACTTGAGACAGAAAAAGCCTCTTAGATTCCGACATGTCTCTAAACTAAATGTCAAGTTGTAAATGTGAAACTTTTATTTTTTGAAGAACATTGGATACATAAAACTCAGATAGGCCTCTCAACACTAACTCTTTACTGCAGGTTACACTTTCTATTTTTCAAGAAAACAAAAACCTCTTAGACTGTAAAGGCCTTTCAGAAATGGAGGACTGGTATGCTTACGATAACTTGCATCATTTATTTTTTTTTAAAAGACTAGGCGTGTAAATCTCTAACAAGCAAACATTTATGACATTCTTTTTAAAAATTCCAGAAGCATACTAAAGACCTTGTTAAACTGAGATTTTGACAGCTTGCAACTTCCCTTAGTTTTCTATATAAGTTAAGAAAACATATACAATAAGGACAGTTACTTTTGGTACAAGGAGATCACAACTATTATTACTGTTACATGTGAAATCGAGTGGTTGGGGATGTGTCATTGACTAGGCACAATCACCAAAATAAAATTTATTGAATGTTGTGACACATTTCAATATATTAAATATCACATCCAATGGCGAAGAATGATTGTGATCTCCTTGTACCAAAAGTAATAGCCTGACAATATACAATCCCAAAAGTGCCATAGTTATGGGCCCAGGTTTTCATTTTTTTTTAAATGACTTAGCAAACAGATTATCCCTTATCCAAATTGGACCTTTAGTTTCTACAAAAGGACATTTAACATTTATCCCTTCTTGTCCAAATTGGACCTTTTGTTCCTACACATGGACATTTTGTGTTATGTATTGCTCAATGCCGATGTAGCCAAAAGTCTGATAATTGCATCTCTGCTGTTGGATAACAAGTTAAAATTATAAGCAATCTCCCAAAATGAAAGTAATCACTCATTACTTCTTGGCATTCGTCTTCTATGATTAAGGCATGGCTAGTTGACTTACATTTGAGCAACGGAAGTTTCAATCATATGTAGGTCATTCATACTTACTCACAAGCAGGCATATGAACACAAAATGCATCCTCATGGAGTCATCGAACTGACTTTTGATAGTCAAGGAGGTTGTGTGCACTTTTGTGAATGAATAAGTCCTCCTACCTTGTCACTAGTGGGAATGCATTCTCATCTCCTCTTTTATCATTGGTAGACATGAGCTGTCCAACAGGTCATCATCATCAAAGCCTTTTCCCGATTAATTGGGAATGAAGTTTAATGAACTGTCCAACAGGTAATAGCTCATATTGTCAGAATGGGCTCCTATGAGGTGATTTAGGGTTGGTTCTCACTGCCATTGCTGCCACCGTCATTACCAAACCTCTGTCACCACAACCACTACCACATCACCACCTTTCACCAATGAATATCGTGATCACCACCACATTGTGGCCACTAATGCCACACCCACAACCACAACCACAACCACCACTAAGCTGCCACTGATGTCACCACCACAAACACCACTATAAAACCTCTCACCGCACCATATCACTGCCAACATTGCACAGCCACCCACCACCACCAAACCACTGCAGCAAAAAGACCACCACACCGCAACATTTCATGAAAAATCCACCCCCATCCTGCTACCATCACCAAACCACCATCACTGCTACCAACACCCACCAACACCAGACCACCACTTAAGGGGTAGATTCAAATATTTTGGGACATATGAGCACTTGTTAGAAGGCCATTGCCCACCAATGTACAAGTACTCAAGTACCCCTTTCCACTGGCAATGAGGTGGAAGGAATGACATATATTGCAAAGATATACAGCCTCCTTAACTACCATAAACTAATGGATAACAGATGCCCAACGGATATAAGTTTCATACATACATTTATTCTTATATAAGTAAATATAAGTATAAATGACTTTAGTATGGCTAAATTTTTCTTCTTCAAATTTAAGCCAACTAGTGCTGTATGATTCAATTGAGGCAGAAGACCCACGCAATAGTCATGCTCGGCGGTTCTCATAAACGTAGATTGCGCAAAATTTTAATTTATTATCGAATGGCAAAGAAGTGATTATTAGATCATTTCCTATGACAATTCTGTATTAAGCAGCACATACCACAAATATTACAACCATTACAATCAATTGATTGATCTAGACAAGCAAAGACAGACTGATAACAGAGTACAGACCCTTTAAATTTGAAAGTGAGGAATTGGCACATAATTACTGCCCCTTATATAAAAAAAAGAAAGCTGCAATGCACTGGAACCTCACTTTACAACAAGCTTTTCACAGGCATCCAACTACTGATGAAGATTACAAAAGAGCAACATGTGGCGAATGTTTGAAGATAAAAAGATGAAGCCTCTTCTTCTTTAGAAAATACAAAAGCAACATGTCACAAAGACACAAATCCTTCAGTTTCTAAAGACCAACAAAACTCCTGCAGGTTTTGTTTCCTTCCAAAATAAGGAGTATGAGATGTCATAACTTTGTCCAGTGCTGAAAGGCTTTAAGAGTCAGACAGGCCTCATCCTTTAAAATAAAACGAAAACATTTAAATTTTCGTTTTATGTTCGTTTTTGGATAAAACGATAAGTTTTTGGTTCCAAAAGGCCCAGAAAACTCTTACATGTTTTACATTCTTTAAAAATAGAACATAAGACATGTTTCACATTCTTTAAAAGGCAAAGCCGCTTCTTCTTTAGAAAATACAAAAGTAACACATCATAAACATACAGGTCCTTTGGTTTCAAAAGACCATCTGCAATCCGATAGGTTTTGTTCTCTTCAAAAATTAAGAACATGAGATGTTGTAAATGTTCATTCCATGTTGAAAGGTTTTAAGAGTCAGACAGGTATCATCTTCTTTAAAACAACAAAAAGAAAACATGTCTATTTGGTTTATGTTGATTTTTTTGGATAAAACAAGTTTTTCAGGACCAAAAAGCCTATAAAGATCCTACACTTTTACATTCTTTAAAAAGTATCATACACGTATCATATGCTTGGAGTTTACAACAATTTATAATTTGACTCATATTAAAATCGAAAATGCGTGAAGGATAAAATCACAATTTTCATACCAAAAAAACATGTGGCATTCAAAGGACTTCTAACATGAATCTTTGAGGGGAAGCTAATGTCATTCAAGCAGATTATTGTCTATAGTGATCTCATAATATCTGCCCAGCTATAATCATTTGGATAACAATTTCATCCTATAAACATGGATTGCTAGAAATACTACTTCATTTACACTTAAATGGAAACACCCTGAAGATCATCAACAATAATATTGTTGTTTTAAAGCTGGGTGAAGGGCTAATGGTGTGATCAAGTCATTTGGGGTCTATGATGCCTGAGAGGTTATCAATGGAGTTGAGACATATTTAAATAAGAGAAGTAAATTTAAAGTTTGGGATGGCTGTGGAACCAAGTTTGTCGATGCTGTTTCGAAACATTTTTTCTAAGGTATGATAAGTTTAGCTTGTCATGGAGGGATAACACAATGAGCTGAAAGCTTCTACCTTACTAGGAGATGGGCAGATTTGAATAGAGGATCGTGCTGGGATGTTTTCCATCAAGTCTTTCTTCTGCGTGGGGTGGGAGGACATATTGGAAAGTGTAACATGTAAAATTTGGTGTATGATACAAGGTACACCATGGAAACATCCCCAATAGCATATAGTGGGGATCATCTTAGTTCCTGATGATGGATATTCAACAGGGTATCATTCATCTATTTGGTCCAGAGCAGAATCAGACTGTCCACTGGTTTATGGTCTACATTCCCTAGAGATTATTTTGATGCAGAACCAGTTTCCTGGTAAGCTTGATATTGGAAAGGAGACCACGATTCAGGAAATAAATGTGCTTGAATGTTTACAATCTCTCAACCTGGTATTGCCAATGCTGATATCAACTTTACCTTAATACTACAAATAAATATTATTTTAAATTATTTACATAACACTTACATTTGACATGTCACAAGCAATTACGGATGGGTCACATGCAACAAGATCGATTGAGAAGACTTTATTTTTCACACTTCTTGCAAGGAGAGCATCCCCTGGAAGAGAAACATCAAATAATCAAAACACGTCATGATCATATCATGTTATTAAATTCAACTAACACCAGGCAGGTTGCAAGAAGTTTAAGTAACAAGAAGTAGGTTATACTCTTTCATAACCATATTTTACAAAATATGAACTAATATGCTTAAAATGTCCCAGCCACCTATGAGCTGCCTCTCCCTTTGAAAACTGTTTTAAACAAACATGATCAAAATGTTTTTCATAGGATAATTCGATCAGACATCTATGTATCCGAGAAGATAGTTTGTTACATATATTTACAAGTTTTAATCATTCAAAACAAAAAATATTTTCTCACCACAACCAAAATCAGCAACTATTAAAGAATGTTTACGACCCTTAAGCCACTTGATTATAACATCCACTGGTTGTTCTGGCCAGTGGGACATTTGCGCTTGGTATCCTGCATGATACTGCAATAGTACCCACAAAAAGAAAAGGATGTCAATAAACAACACTGGTGATTATAAATACCACAAGTAATGGCACCACTGTTGAGAAATTGAAATATATACTTTTAAAATGATAATTTTCTTTGGAGAGCATACAAATACACATGGATGTTTCTCTATATTTTGGACAGAGACAGCCAGATGGATAGACAGCGTAGATTGATATAAAAGTTCAAAATATTTTGGTTTCAAAATCTATCCCTTTATAGGCAAGACAATTTTAGCACTAATCCGAAGTTAACAAAATAAAAAAAATAAAACAGGACTTTAAAATTTTGGTTCAATTTGGATTCCTTTTGTTTTTCATGAAATGTGATACATTAAATTCACGATTGGAATTCTACAGCACATATGGGGAGACACAACAGTGAGTGAAGACTATGATGGGGCATTTCCGCAACCAGAAATTCGCCAAAAGAGAAACAGGGGGACCAGAATCATAGCCAAAGAAATGGCCACAATGAGTACATGGCAAAAGACATCGGGTCATTAGTACGAATCTCATCCATTCCTAGTATAAGTCGACTGCATGCCAGGCCTTAGGAAGTACTTCCAAGCCAATATAAATGCAACGAGGCACTTCACTTCTACCAATAACTGTCCTCCAAGAGCATCCTAGTTCACTCCAGGCCACTGGGGTAAGGAGTACCATAAAAGAGTGCATGCTATTCTTTGAGATGAATACATTATCTTGATACTTCCTAATTTTCCATGCTAAATTAAGTGTGCTATTTTTACCTTTTACTTTGATTCACAAGTTAAAATAAATCAGAAAACCAATAAAAGCTTCACAAATGACACAACAACGTACCATGTAAAATATAATTATCAATAACTTGAGAAAAAAGAAACACCAAAAGTCCAGAAAGGCTAGGAATAAAGCTTACCGTGTTAAATAGAGCTGGATCCTTCTTAAAGAAGCTAAGAGCATCACTACCACTGAAAGCAAAAAATGCATAAAATATTAATTTCAGAAAGGCAGGAATTCTGCAAAAGCTCATACACATCCAAAGTATTTTATCTCAAAGAGCTTCAATAGACTAGAACCACTCCATCAACCAAAACTTCAGTGTGTTTCTTAAGGTGTTTGTTCTCCTGTTTATTGAAATAATTTTCCAGCGTGTGATGACAGAAGAATGGAAAGAGTTTGATCACCTAAATAACCTAGAGGAGGAACGAGTGTTCCAGAGGGAGGATATAGAAGCAGAGACCAGGTTAGACTTTTGCACCAGGATACAGCAATGAAAGTAAAACTCATCTGAGATCATTTTAGGAAGGAGACCAAAACAAAAACTTCATTTTTGTATATGGAAAGCGGCTAGTCGCACGAAGAGTGGAAAGAGACGCCACATGATTTTCTACGCAACTATTCAATTAGAGTAGTTACATGAATATCATGAAGCTATATTTAAGCTGGTGGAGGTTGAGAGGAAGGTTGTGGTTACAGTTTTTTTAAGGGCATACACTTTAAGGGAGGTAATCTGTTTTCCAGTTGGAGAAGCATTTTTTGGCTCTATGCTGGCAATCAGGGCAAGCCTCAACCAGTCAGACCCCGTGGGTTGACTGGTCCTGGCGGGTTAGGTCCAAGTCAAGAAATGCAGACCTGACATTCAAGCCACATCAGGTTTCGATCCATCCAGGACCCAACTGGATCAGGTTGGTCGAGTGGTTTGGGTCCAAGTCTAGAAGTGTGAGCCCCAAACGCAGGTTGGGTTGGTCGTGGTCCATCCCGGACCTAACATGGTCAGATCGGTTCCAGGTCTGGCTTGACCTATAGTCTACATATTTTTTATCACCAAAAAATATATAATATGTTTTACATTTTATTTTTATTTTTTTGGTATTTTGACCCCAGCCTGACCCGACCCGGTGTGTTGGTCCAGTTCCAACTGACCTAAACCCCATCGGGTATGTGTCCGTCCTCCAACTTGTCGTGTCAGGCCAGGTCAGGCTTGACCTACAGCCGAGCCGAGCAGAGCTGAGCCGACCCATTTACACCCTTAAGTCTCACTTGAGACAGCATTGAGCAGCCAGTTTGAAATGATAACAGTCTTATTCGAGCTCATATTAGAAAATGACATTGTTTGATTTGAATGATTCATTGATAACAACATTTCACTCCTTTGTGGGTTGCTCAATTGTGCTTTTTGTGTCAAATAAAATTATTACAGAAAAAGACAGCTATTCAGAGAATTTGCCAGCTCAAAGTTCCATGATTACACGCACTTTAAAAGTTGCAATCGAAAACTTATTACAAAGCACAGGGGAATTTATAAAGGGTGGACCTGCAAGAGTACAGCTTTTCATTTATCATCCGGAAATGGCCTCCAGACAACCTTGCTCGCATCTAAATGTTCATGGGAAATCAGATGGGCATGGTAAGTGCATCATAAGGTACAAAAAAATGAAGAAAAATCATGAATTTCAACTTATATATGGTTTAAAAAAGCATAACTTTGTATCAACTAAATTTCAAACTATAATGATGATAGAAATGAGCAACTCCAGGTTTAGTAAGACCTCTTCAAATTCCAACCAACAGAGTGACTATTTTTGTTTTTGTTTTTTTTTGTTTTTTTGTTCTGAGGAAAGATTGCCTGTTATGTATTATGTAAGTGAATTGCTTACAATAAAAACAAAAAATTAGACTACGCACATATTAGGGACTCTCTGTACAGAAAAATGGCAACCCACGCATCAGTGTTCATTCCCAAGAAGTTGAGGCCCACAAGGCTTTAAGTAAAGGTTAACAAAACCTTTAGAGACAGAGAGGAAGGAACAGTAAAAGGAGATAAAATAGTAGCAGAACGGACAGAGAATAGGCAAAGATTAGTAGAAGGAGAGAAGCAAAAGAAGTAAAAAGAAAGGGAGGAAGACTAATTGGTAATCTGCTGCTTGATAGTCCCTTCCAGAGCCTCCCCCTTAGCCAAGCGGTCGGCAGCCTGGTTCGCTTCCCAATGAACATGACAGAAAGTGTCATGTCCCTCCAAAAGCCAATAGTTTATAACATCCTAATATCAAATATCAAATATCTTCTTTGGAAGATTCACCTCTTGGGAATAAACCTTCCCTCCTTGGCCAACTTAAAAGCAAACCTCAATCGCAGCAAAACATCATTACCCCTACAAACGCAGGCTAGCAACACCCGCATTACATATACTGCAGAACAGCAAGGTCAAAGTCTCCCACATCATGGATAAGAGATGAAACCTCAATCACAAAAGACCATCCTCTCTTTAGGCCCCAAAAAAAAGGAATTCAAAATCTCTGAGGTCAAGTCACTGATCTTTATTCAATCATGCCAGCTCAAGATTCCAAATGTCAAATTTCCTTGCTCCAGCAATCATGATTTTAAATTGACCACAGGATCTAAAAACACAAAGGAAGCTTAAGAACCTACCATCAGGTGGAGACATGACAAAGTAGTTAATCGTTTAATGTATAAGCAATCAAAGTTGGAATTGAATTCTCAACTCTAAACAGGTCCGTAACCAAGCTTAAAAGCACATCAAATACAAAAACAATCCTCAAGATGAGGCTCTATACCACAAAAGCTTGCAGTCAAGAACAGTATATTACTGCAAAGGATTAGAAATATTGAATGTCAAAATCCCTACAAGACTAGTGTGTGCGACTCATTAACCAACCTACTATAGCAGGATGAGGGTTTTACTTGTGTGCACTAGAACCATACTACAGAAGCCTCCCTAGTCTAACAAGGTTTCCCCACCATAATCATTTAGTTCTTGTATCTTCTTTTTTCGATATTAAATGATAAACACAATGGGAACATAGTAGTAGAAGGGGCTGTTGGTACAAGTGACGACGGAGGTCAAAGATACTTTCTTAGGATTAGGATGTTGGAAGTGAAAGAAGCCTTGAAAAGGATGAAGATAAGATAAGATTTAGGACCAGATAATATCACGATAGAAGTTTGGAAGTGCATGGGAGAAATTGGCATTAACTGGCTGACGAAACTGTTGAGAACAATGAAAATGCCAAACGAATGGAGGACAAGTATTGTGGTACCTATTTACAAGAACAAATGAGACATACAGAATTGTGCAAACTATTAAAGGATCAAGCTTATGAGTCATACTATGAAGCTATGGGAAAGAGTCACTGAGCAACGACCAAGGTATGAAACGAGTGTATTTGAAAACCAATTTGGTTTTATGCCAGGAAGCTCAACAACTGAGGCTATTTTATTACTTAGGCAACTGATTGAAAAGTTTAGGGCGAAGGGAAAAGGCATCCACATGGTCTTTATTGATCTAAAGAAAGCTTATGATAGAACACCTCGAAATTTGATTTGGCGGGTGTTGAAAAAGAAAGACATCTCTAAACACTACATCGACTTGGTGAGAGACATGTACGATGGAACGGTAACTAGTGTACGAACAACTAGTGGAGAGACGAGTGAGTTTTCAGTGACAATAGGTCTGCATCAAGGGTCAGCATTGAGCCGTACCTCTTTGTCTAAGTTATGGATGACTTAACTAAGCATCTATTGGATGAGGTACCGTAGTGCACGTTGTTCGCACATGACATAATTTTGATTGATGAGACCCAACACAACGTCAACACAAAGTTAGAACTTTGGAGGGATGCTCTAGAGTCCAAAGGTTTTAAAATTAGTCAAACTCAGATAAAGTATATGGAATGCAAGTTTAGAAATAGTGGGAGTAGAGATGAGGAAGTAGTTAAGATTGATGGCCAAGAAGTACAAAAAAAACCGCACTTTCGATAACTTGGGTCGATAATCCAGGAAAATAGAGAGATCGAGGAAGATGTCGCACACAGAATTAGAGCTGGGTAGGCGAAGTGGAGATGTACAAGTGGAATTTTATGTGATCGTTGCATACCAATGAGGGTGTAGGGAAAATTCTATAAGACAACAGTGAGACCAGCTTTGCTTTATGGGCGAAGTGGAGATATGCAACTGGAATTTTATGTGATCGTTGCATACCAATGAGGGTGTAGGAAAAATTCTATAGGACAATAGTGAGACCAGCTTTGCTTTATGGGGCAGAAGGTTGGGCAGACAATAAACAATATACCCATAGAATGAGTGTAGCTGAGATGAGGATGTTGTGATGGATGAGCGGCAAGACAAGAAGGGATAAAATTCGAAATGAATCTATTCGAGAGAATTTAGGCGTGGCACCGATAGACGATTAAAGGAGTGAGTATAGACTTAGGTGGGCTAGCTATGTGTAGCGTCGACCAAGTACAACACGTGTTAGGAGGTACGAGTTAGTTCAAGTGGAAGGACTGAAAAGGGCAAGGGGTAAACCCAAAAAGGCACAGTTAGAAGTAGTCTAAAAAGATACAGAGACTTCTGCGCATAATGGAAAACTTGGATTCATGTAGCCGACCCCAATTAATTTGAAATAGGCTAAAATGATGACAATCATCTTCCTTTTCACTATCATAGAATCCTCATCTGCAAATTACAGCCCTAGTTCATTATAGAAATTTGAACTCCTGATCTCAGAATTCACAACGATTCAACAGGTCCAGTTAAAATAAACAAAGAAAGTGCAGCCATAAATAACATAGCGCATATATTTGCAAAAGAAAACCCCCATTGAAAATAATCAAACATTTTCCTCATGCGTCTCAACATGTAGAGTTGAACATGATCAGCTGGATAGCTAATTCTTCACCTACCCGAAAGGATAGCTAATTCTTCATCTACCTGAAAGGATTCTTTACCAGATACGTGAAAACGTTATGGTGATTTTACACTTAACAATCCATAAATGTAATCTATCTAAAACAACAATGCCCTATTGTTACAGATAGCATATGGAAGCCCCAATTCCCAAGCTGAAAACAACTATACAACACTGAAGACCAGATTAATCCTTATCCACTGATACTTTCATGAATGACCTATTGGGTATCATCTTTAACAGTTCAAAACTAAACCCAAATTACAGAAATCAAAATAAATCAGGAGAAAAACAAACTATTTTTTTTCGGTGTGTAGAAATCCAAAAGAAGCACATACTCAGAACATAAAAACTATTTTCCTTGAATTGAGAAGTCGCAGAATGAGTTTCAGATTACACTATAGAAGAGAAAAAGAGATGATTTCTCAAAAAACAGAAGAAAGTTATGAGAAAATTCTAACCTTGTCCAGAAAGGTGCTGGACTTGGGAGCAGGTGGGGTGTGGGCGTTGTTTGATTTGGGTTCTTGGGTCGATTGGTCTAGTAGGCATTTTCTTCGTTTCTGTTGACGTTGAGGGTGAGATGGGTTTCTCTCTCCTCTGCAACTTCTTCTCTTTCTCTTATCCTTCTTCTGCTTGGAGTTGCTCAAAGCCTCCATTGCTGAAGCTCTGATAAATGGATGCTCTCCAAAGCTTGGAGCAAGCCCCTCTCCTATATTTCCTTTGGAAAAAAGGTTTCGTGCCCCCACGGTGCATACTGTCCATCTACGCTGCGATTTACGGGATAATACTTTTCCATGTACTGGTGTGTCAGTCTAAAGCAGAAGAGTCAGGCCCTATGCGCGACCTGAGGGAGCACCTAATACAAACCTTTGTTTAGGGGTGTGGTTTGTGTAAAGGCACCGATTATAAAATCGAAGTCTGGCGCGCCTCTGAATTATGTTAAAAGATATAGTTTTGTAATGGCCTAAAAAAAATTGTTTTTATCCCTGATCGATGAAATTTTAAGCTTTAAAATAGCAAAATAATAATATTTAGTAATATGCATGTGTGTTGTACGTCATTTATAATGTATGTGATATTTAATATAAATCACTGAAACATGTTTATCATTGAAAAATATTTTCAATAAAACATGGTTTTCAATGAAACATGTTTTTAGAGATCATTGAATATTGAAAAATATTTTCAATAAAATTTGGTTTTAGCGTTCATTGAATTTATGATTTATCCTCACTATTGAATAACTTTATAAAATAATTATGATTTTTTAAAAACCATATAATAAATAAATAATTTAGGTATGACAAAATACGATTCTAAGGGGACAAAAAAATTTTAAATGGTATTTTAAATAGAGGAATAAAAATTGATATAGTGCAAATGAAAAATATTGAAAAAAAGCTGGAGGAGATGTGATCAAAATACATAATTAACAAATCAAAATTACTCAAGTATCTCACAAAAAAAGAATTAAATTTTATATATACTTTATCACATTTTTTTTTTGCTAGAAATATAATATTGTAGTTACAAAAGCAATTTAATATTCAAATAGTCATAAAAAAATTAAAATACATATAAAGGAAAATTTGAGATGAAAATAAATGTATAAATCATTTAACATAAGAATCAAAAAGAAAAAATAACTAATTTTCTACTCCCCAATAGGGAGACCACATAATCTACTTGAAAAATAGCAAGAGAAAGTTAGAATAAAGAGTAATATAAATAACTAAGTTATATACAATTAAAATAAATAATAAAAATAATAATGGTAATAATAACAACATCAACAACAACTATAATTATGGTTGTTATTGTTATTATTATTATTATTTTATATATATATATGGTGAGTGAGCTCAAACCACCTATTCGATGTAATTAAAAAAACTATATTATAACTTGAAAAATATACTATATATATAGATAGAGATGGGTAACATACCTTCTATCTTTCATTTAGAAAATATTTCTAACGAAAAACCTATTGGAGAGAGTGCTGGGATAGTCCAAAGAGAGAAAGGGCTTTCAGTAACAGGCTTTTGAGTTTTTTCTAACAAAAAACTATTAGAGAGAGTACTAAGATAGTCCAAAGAGAGAGCTTTCTCGTAAGTTTGGGTGTGACATGCTTGTGACATGCTTTTGAGTTGGGGTATAAGGGTTTTAGCTTTTTAAGTGAGATATGACAGGAGAGGTTATTCCTAATGAGAACTTTAGGAAAGGAGAGATTGAGAGAGATTTCTAAAGAGGGAGAGATGAATAAGAGAAAAGAGAAATCACGAGAGGGATAAAAAATTTCTTAAAGAGAGGTAGGGAGGGAGATATTAAGGGAGAGATTTAAGGAGAGAGATATGAGTGACAAAGGAAAGAGGTTATAAGAGATATCTAATGAATGAGTTGTGACTTAACGAGACATTAATTACCTGTTACATAGTGGGAGAAAGAAAGGTGGGAGGAGGAGAGAAACATGGGAGTTAGAGAGACAAAAATGACTTGTTACATAGTAGGAGAGAAAAAAGTGGGAGAGAGAGATATGTAAGACGTAGAAAGTAAATTAAATAGAGACGAGAGAGAAATGTAGGAGGTATAGAGTAAATTAAACAGAAAGATAGATATAGAGAAACATCATATTAAAAAAAGGGTTACATAAAAACTAAAAAAAGAATTACTTATATTTATATCCTTTTATACACGTAGGAAGAAGAGAGTGGCATAAAAACATTACACTAAAAAAGAGTTCCCTATATTTATGTCTACATTAAAAAAAATTTACTTATATTTATGACTTTTTATGAATGTAGGAAGAAGAGAGAGAATGTGAGAAGGAGATGTGGAAAAAGAGTACATTAAAATAAATAAGAGATAGTTAATATGGAAAGAGTAGAAGAGATAAAGAGATTAATATAGGGGAGAGAAGAGAGAGAGACTAATGTAGAGGAGGAGAGAAGAGAGAGAAACGTGGGGGGTATGGAGTTATTAGAAAATAGAGAGAGAAGATGGATGCTTAAATAAAGGAAAGAATGGGATGAGATGACATGTATTGGTATGAAAAAGATGTAGGGGAGCGAGGGCATGAGATGATATGTATAGACATGAAAGATATGTGGAGAAGAAAGAGTTATTAATATCGTGGGACACGTGGTGAAAGATAAGCGGGATAGTCTTATCGCTTAATATATAACTAATAACATGCACCTGTGTTGTATGTGATATTTAATATTAATCACTAAAACATATTTATTTTTGAATTTTTTTTAATTAAATACAGTCTTAGAGAGAGAGAATTTAATTCATTTGTCTTCACAATTTAATAGTTTATTAATTAATTATAAATATAATAGTAAACATTAATTTAATATATTATTAATTAACACGGATCCATTTTCTCTACAATTAAATAATAAAGATGATTTAAATAAATGATTTAAACTATATAAATAAAACTAATAGATAAATTTATGCAGGGTCTTGCTAATGATGATATCCAATATATTAATTTAAGACATTAGGTCCTATTAATGCTTATATCTAATATATTAGTCCATTAAAGCACACTCAAGAAGTATTAACCTTATTATAAACAACAGAATGATAATAATTGATATATATTTATCAATACCTAATTTCAAGAATACGAGAGAGGAGAAAGATTTAAGGAAAAAAGAACTACAAGAGATGAAGAAATAATCAGTGAGGGAGGTATTTAGGGGTGAGAGGTGAGATTAACACATAATTTTTATTTTTTCTTAACTCACATATTTCTATTAAAAATAGACATGGGAAATAGTTACTTGAGTGAGAGGATAAATTATCATAAAAAAAAATATGTACCCTATTAGTGAGGGAGATACATTATGCTTAATAAAAAATGCATATTAATGAGGGATGTGGATTTTCAATAGGTCGTGGTTTTTATTGTATTAACTTAGGAAGTATAAACTTTACATAAAAAGCATGAAAGGAAGAATAATTCAGATATACTAGTTGTCATAAAAAAACAGACTAAATATGACCAAAATATTTTTAATATTATTTTAAATTGAAGAATCAAGGACATAGTGCAAATGAAAACTAGTAAGAAGAAGTTAGAGATGGGATCACAACATATCACTTGTGAATAATTTTTAACAATTCAAAACTCATAATTAGAAAATAAAAGATATTCAAGTATCTAGGAAAACAAATAATTAAATTTTATATATGCTAAATCACATTATATTATCTTAATCATAAAAACTTTTAAAATATAAATATTATATTTAAAATATGCAAAGGTCAAAATTGAGATAGAAACAAAATTACTGTTTTATGTTGTTTCTATTATTATTGTTGTTGTTATTAAAATAAAGATTGTGATTTTTATAAGGTTGCAATCTTAAACAATCCAATTAAGTCGCACCTCCAAATTTTATCATAACATTTAATTTTGTTGTAAAAAATTATTAGGATTATCTTAAAATATATTCTCATATCTAATTAGAAAATTTTAAACTCAAAAAATAATTAAAATCAAGGAGATCTATAAATATATGAAAATCTTGAAAATGGACGGCCTAGATAATGTGTTGCAAGATGCACCATTTATGCGACTCAAAAACCTTTTTTTATATATATATTCATACATCTTGATGTTGAGATGATCAAATAGAGGTTTTTCAACATTAAAACAGCCTTTTTGATAGATTTTTGAGGTGCATCTGTAATTCTACATTTTAAGGTTGCAACCTTATATAAACTTTTCTCTAAAATAAAATAGTAAGAAACGACTAAATTATTATTATTATTGTTATTATTATTTTATTTTTATCTTTTAAGGTAAGGCCCATTGATCTTGAATACTATAAAAAATGATTATTTTTCTTTTTTATTATGATGTTTAATGATAAATCGATTTTGTTTGTGTCTCAAATTTGTCATTTAATTTTGTTTTATGATAAAGGGTTCAAAAGAGACAATAACACACCTAGAAAATAGAAAGAGAAAGCTATTATTGTCATAAAAAAACAAATGTAATGCTAGAATATTCATAAAAGTTAAAATATAACAAATGTAGTTAAAATCATAAAAGGGTGAAATTGAGATAGAAACAAGTTTGATATAATTTAACATAAAAATCAATGTAAAAAAATTATTTTTCCATTAGCATTTAAGATCCATGGGTTTTACCTTATTTGATAAAAATAACTCGTAAAAAAACTTGAAAGACAATAACATAAATAAATAAGTTATAGGCAATCAAAATAAAATAATAATAATAATAATAGTAATAATAATAAGTATTATTTTATTACTATTTTCAAGTTTATAATAAAAAAATTAGAACTATTAAAGAATCTAAATCTTTAGTTTTTTCAATCTAATTGAGTTTTCACGACCTGTGAGAGAGATCAAACCACTTATTTTTTATATGTAAAAAAACCATATTATAATTTGAAAAATATACTATATAGAGATAGAGATAGACATCATACCTTCTACTTTTCTCTTAGGAAAATATTTTCGAGGTAAAAAAATCATTGTGAGATATCAATAAAGAAATGAACTCGAGAGAAAGATAAATACATTGTTTTCTCATAGGTTAAGATGGGGCATGATAGGCTTTTGAGCTGACGCATGAGGGTTTATGGTGATAGAGGATGGAAGAGGTTTTTCTTATGAAGATATTTTGGGAGGAAGAAATTGAGAGAGAGATTAAAGGAAAAAGATCCTAAATGT